TAATAATAATAATAATAATAATAATAATAATAATAATACCAGCACCTGACATTCATGGATGGCTGCCAGGGTCAAGCACTCTAACAAGGCATTCCTGTTCTTTCTTGGTGGGTGGCTGGGGTTTGGAGCCATGCATCACTTTGAATTTTCCATAATGCCCTGGTATACAACATGGCAACCAGGGAGCCCATTGGAGGTGTTGTCATGGCCCTCTCAGCCTGAAAGCCAGCCATGTTCTGTGTGTTTTATTTCTGCACAGACACGCACCAAGGATCCTTGCAGCATTACCTCCCATCTACCAAGCCATTTCACTAGTTACCAGTATAGTTGTTCTCATATGCAGGTCAATTCACAGGGCTTGTATTTGGCTGACAAATATTTTACTTCCTTGTAATTCTACGTTCCATAATGTACACTGGTGATGTGAAATATTTGTTGAATCATTACCAAGTCTAGATAGCATTGCACTGAATGTCGGTCATCAGGATTTAATGCTGTTTCTTTTCTCTCTTCTTCTTGTACATTTTACAGGGCTCCTCTCGATCAGTTGTAAACATGGAGTGGGATAAAATTTGGTCATTTAACAAAAAGGTACATGCTCCTCCATTTTGATCTGATGATGTTTTTTGGTTGACACCTACTCTCTTGTGCTGGTAGTAAACCCAGCATTCTTTGGAATGCTCTTCAAAGGCTAGTGAATGCAGTATGTTGCATCATCTGGCTAATTTTCAGGAAAATGGAATGTCCTGTCTTGCTAACAAGGCCTAACACTAATCTTACTTACTTTTTGCCAAACTGATACTGAATTGTTTTTCTTGGATTGTGTGGGAAGGTAACAGTATTTTGCTGATGTAAAAACTGATATGAAAACTCTGCATTTCATTTTTCTGCTTTCAAGCTGCGAGCTATCTGTAAAAAGGTATTACTTCATGCTTTTTCTGCCTTAGCATATAGCTTACAGTATTGTAAGCATACATAGCATAAGTCATCACTATGCAGCTTCTCATAGCACAACCATGTTTGCTTATATTACAAGAACTGTATATAGCCATCTTAAAATGCATTATTCCTGTTCTAAAAAGGAACTAATACGTAATCTGAGTCTTGATTTCTCAGTGAAGCCTCACTTCAATTTACAACGCTGGCCATACTTCTCTTTTGTAGTGAAGTGAAGGCTTTAATTCTCTAATTCTGCTGATACCCCTCAGTTGAAGGTCAAATATGGAATACTGCATCTTGACATGGTTAGTTGCTTTTTGGCAGCAGATGCTTGAACACTATAATAAGGCGAACTCTTAGTGTCTGCCTGCTTAACACTGTGGCTGTTTCTATTTTTTTTTAACTTGTGTCTGGACTTTTGCTCGTTTTCAAAGAAGCCCTCCCCAGATATAAGTGTTTGCTTGCCTGGCATGTGTCTTGTACTCTCTTACAGACTTTTTATTTGTTCTCTTCATGTATGCAAGGGATTATCAATTGGCTCTTTCTGTTGCTGCATAGATTGGCCCCTTTTGTATACGTAATAAATTTACAAAACACCATAGTGATATATTTATGTTGTTGAACAGCTCACTACACTGCCCTGTGTATTGCATTCTCACTGGGCAAGAGTGAAAGTGTGTGTTGAATTGCTCTATAGTGAAAGATTAGTCATTTAAATAGCAAAATTAGTGATTCAGTAGCAGCACTACCAAACCACATTTTAACTATGAGAGTATAAAGTGCTACCTAAAGAACCCCTGTACATCAGTACAGTAAATAAACTGCAGGCCTGCTATGGCCATCTGCTTTCTTCCAGTTACTGCAAGTAAGAAAAGCATTTGTATTTAATGCTTTAAAGAAAAGCCCAGTCCTTAAAAAGATAACATGTCAGTTGCTGATTGATAGATCACATCTAGAGGCAAATTCTTGAATTCAGACTCACTCTGTAGTCACTGATTAGTACATGTTTCTAATGGAACTACAGAAGCAATGGTGATCTATATTAAATATAGATTTAATATCTATATTTGCCATGAGCAACTGTAAGAGTGCCCTTTTTTCTAGGAGAATTCAGGTGTGAAGTATGTCTGCTTCCGTTATTTTTTTCCTTATTTAGCTACTGTATTCTTATGGCTGTTAGTTCTTGTCTTAGATTTCCATTTTTAAATTGTATACTACTCTTAAAACTTCCAAATAGTATGAAGTTTCACTACATTTTAAGGGAGATGAAAAAGTTGATCAGTAAAATGACTGGTGTGGTAAGAAGATAAACACAATAGAAGAGACTGTGCTTGAGTAATGAGTAGGATACCAAAGCAGTTTGACAAAGATGCCAAAGAGGAAAGACTGTTCTTAAGTACAGTGCTATAATGTTGCCTTATTATAGTGATCTAATACTGTTGTATTTGTATCATGCTAGAAAACATATTTGTGGAAATAAAGTCACAGAAAATATATGGACTGAAGAATAAGAGAAAGAAAATTATAAAACTGTTTCTTGTGTAGCTAAAGAACAATTCCCATCAACATGTTTAAAATTGTAGGCAGCTTTGAGTCTTACATTCGGCACTTACAAGATCATTAATTGGAATGCCTTGCTTAATTGCACATACAATACTATTATATCAGAGTTGGTTCATTTAAATTTACAAAGAGCATTCCTCAGAAATATGTTCATGGTTCATTCTTAGAAAAAGTAATATTGACATTGATATGCTTAAATGTAGATGTGCTTATTTCAAAAAATGATCCAATGAGTGCTAAAAGAATCACAGAGCTATAAATAATCCCTACCCCAGATCATGTAGTTGATGTCAGAGTCCTGCACATACTTACCTGGGAGTATGTATGGAATACAGTGTATTGGAATTAGAATACAGTGAGCTTTACTTTTGAAAAGACATGCATAGATATACATTGTTAAGACTTATGTCAAACTTAGAATTTGCCTGTAGACCTCCACAATATGTATGTGCAAATTTAGTTGAGGCTACTGTTGTCTTTGTTTTGTTTAGAGAACAGTTAAAAATTACTGCATTTGACTTTATATTTTTGTGTTGGTCTTGCTGTTACAATTTAGATTCAGGCAAAATTTATTTGCAGTTGAAGATGCAGTAACACAAAGAATACCAGTTAATATTCCTAAATGACATCTGTACTTTTCAGTTCATGTAACTCTGGCTTCAGCCTGTTCTGAGAGTAGTTGAGATCTTTTGATTCCTCTTTGTATTTAGGTCATAGATCCAGTGGCACCCCGGTATACTGCTTTGCTAAAGAATGATGCAGTCACAGTGAATATTCCTGAAGCTCAAGAAGAGATGAAAGAAGTAGCAAAACATCCAAAGGTTCGCTTATTAGTTTTAGCTGAAGAAATATTGTAATTCAGAATGCTGAAATTGTGACCTAGTGTAAATTTTCCAAATTTTGTCTGAAACATTTGTTACAATGTGGAATAATTGTAAGAAAGAGAAAGGAAAATTAAGCTGTCTGAGAATATGATTTGCCAGAGGTTATACAAATGGTAGAACTAATTAAATGACAGGATGTGGATGAAAGTTGACACGATATACTTTTCTAGCATTTGAGGAAGGAAGGAACTCAATAAGAGCCAGTTTAGTATAGTGGGTAGAGTGCTGGCCTGGGACTCAGCAAATCTGAGTTCTAGTCCCCTCTAGAATGTGAAGCTCACTAGTTAACTTTAGGACCAGCCTAACCCACCTCACAGGGTTGTTGTGAGGATATAATGGAGTGGAGGAGGAGGGTCACATAAACCACCTAGGGTTCTCTGTGAAAGAAAAAATAGGGTTATGCATATAGTGTATGACTGTCTCTTTCTACCTCATCCCAGACCATTAGCACAATGATTACACTTCATTGTATGGGTGTATGGTATGTGTATTGTGGGGCTTGTGGACCCTCCCAGGGGCTGTCTATGTCACCTGAAGTTCGTATTTAAGGTAAACAAAAGCCCAGATCCTGCCCTTCCTGTAATGCAAGTTGTTTATTGAGGAGAGGAAGGAAGTTACAGAGGGAGGGAGGTGAAGACAACCTCAAGCTCCTGCTATGGTCAGACTGTCTTCTCCCCAACCCCGGACTGCCTTCTCCCCAACCTCATTTGCTCAACTGCTCTGAAGCTTGGGATCCAAAAGAGAAAGAGGCAAGCAGGCAAAACACCAACATTTGCTCCAGCTGTTTTGAATTTTAAGTGAATGGTTTTTAATGTGCCCATACATTTTGTAAATGCTGAGAGGCTCTTTAAGGATGCTCTAGTAGCTATAAATCTATTGAATAAGTATATATTGCAAATTAAAGAACTGGAAATTTTTTCTTGTTACCATGACATTGCTGAAGTTTGGCATTCAGATGGCAAATGTCAGACTCCTTTGCCACTATCAATAAACTTAAATAGCTTGGACAACATTTTCAATTTTCCCAAAGCTTCTTTTTCAGAATCCTTTCCTTGTCTCTCTGTTATACAAATAAAAATGCAAACAAATTTTCAGTCTACATCAGGGGTCTCAAACTCAACTTACCTGGGGGCCGCTGGAAGTAGAGTCTGGGTGAGGCTGGGCCGCGTCAAGTATTCCACCACCGCGGTGGTGGTGGGCCGCTCATTCGGAGGCCGGCCAGGGTGCCGCCAGCGCTTTGTAGGCCGCAGGGCCCCTCCCCCATACCCCGCCTGTCCTGGCAATTGGCCTGCGGGCCGCGAGTTTGAGACCCCTGGTCTACATTTTCTGTTATGGAGAGACAATGAAATAACAGATTTGGTTGAATTGGGTACTGTCACAGGCGCTTAGTTTCATTGTGGCAAATGTGAAGTTACTGTTTTTAATATATTGAAAAATACTTTTGTATAGTTTGGATCATGTTCAAATTTGTCCTTAAGAGGTTTTCAAATGAGTACTTTAGAGTCCAATCCTGTGTGTGTTTGTAGGACATTTTTCTGCCTAAACATACATAAAATTGTTCCCTCAGTTGTTCAAGCCTTTGCAATGAAAAGAAAATAGAAATAAGAATAAAACCTCTGTTGTAGATGGATCATATTTTGAAGTTGTTCACATTAATGCCAAACATCTCAGCCATACTGCACCTTTGTACATCATTCTGGAATTGACTATTCTGTTGTAATCTGTGTATAAGAAACATTTAATAAAGCTGCTGGGTGAGCTCTTTATTCCTTGTTAATTTGCAGAATGCTGAAGTTGGCCTGAAGCCCATATGGTACAGTCCCAAGGTGCTTATTGAAGGAGCAGATGCAGAGACATTGACAGAAGGCGAGACGGTTACCTTTATTAATTGGGGCAACATAATCATCACCAAAATACACAAGTAGGTTGCTGGGTCTTGAAACAAGTTGGGATCTTGGATTTGATTCTTCAGCATTGTATTTGGATTATTAATGTTCTGGTTTCTTCAACACTGAAGAAAAATTTGCAATTGGTTGGATTTTAACAACTGCAAGCACAGTTCCAGTATTTATCCTTCCTATCCCCTGCAGTCCCCTATGGCACCACTTCCAAGGCAAATCTTGAGGCTCAAGAAACCTTTGGGAACAGCATGGAAGATGGTGTAGGAAACTGTTGCAGTGTAGGGGGTCTGCAGAAGTTGCAAAGGATCAGTGAGTCTGCAGGAGCAAAAGGGCCGTCTACTCACTTGGGGGTCCTTTTACATCCAATCCAGTGTTGCTTAGCTGTTAAATCTGAATGTAGAGTTTTACACTTCTCTGAATTTTGAACAGTAATTTAAGTTGCATGTCAGTACTTCCTTAGTACGATTTTAGTCATTTCTTTGCAAAGAACACCCACATAACCACAGTATCTATGTTGCTTCCATATAGGAATTCCACTGGGAAAATCACATCTCTTGATGGAAAGCTGAATTTGGAAAATAAGGACTACAAAAAAACTGCTAAGATAACCTGGCTGGCAGAAAGTCCTCGTGCTCCTCTCACTCCAACTGTCTGTGTCAGTTATGAGCATTTGATCACAAAACCTGTCCTAGGCAAGGAGGAAGACTTCAAGCAGTATGTCAATAGAAATAGCAAGGTAGCCTGCAGCAGTTCACCTATTTTTTAAACATTTTTATCCCACCCTTACTTCAAGGAGAGCATACCATACTTTACCCTCCCTTAAACCTCACAGGAAACCTAAGGGAAAGCATGGACTTGAGTAATATTGACTAGCTGAGTGGAAATTTGAACTCAGATCTCTCTGGTCAAGGTCCAGCAGCTCAGCTTCCTCAGTGCGGTGACCTCCATATGCTTTTGGGCTGCATGTTTGACCAATGGCCATGGCTGGGCCTGATGGGAGTTAGTGCAAAGCATTGGGAGAGCATAATGCTGGGGAAGTCTGCTTGACCCACTGGCTGGCTGTAAAACTGTTCCTCCTTCATTGTTCATGTTGGGTCACCAAATGAACTGCAGTACTGTGAGCTGAGGATTTTCAAAATTCACTGCGTTGTGTCCTTCCTCCTCTGCTAACTCCTATGTTTCAGCACAGCTGCAGCATTTCTTGGGACTTGGTATATACTGTTCTTAGGAACAGTCATGCTGACTTGCTTTTTGGCATTTTACAGCAAGAGGAACTGATGCTTGGTGACCCTTGCCTTAAAGATATGAAAAAGGGAGACATCATACAGCTTCAGAGAAGAGGCTTTTATATTTGTGACCAGCCATATGAGCCCATTAGGTAAGCAGTTCAAAACTTATTTCTTTTGCTTATCTAATGTACATGTTCTGTAGCAGATTTTTTGGCAGAACAATTTAATAATTCCACAGCACTAAAGTTCTGAATTGAAATGTATGTCCATGTATAAATGGTCCTGTTTTGTGGTTAAACTGGCCAGCAGTCTATGCCAATACAAAATTCTAGGGTTGTAGACCATACTTTGCCAAATTTTATCGCGCCTTTGTATCATATTGACCAAAGTGGAGTAGTGGTAGAGAAATTACTGTCACTTAAATGCAAGAACAGGCAACATTTTGAACATGTGGGCGTATTTGGAGATTTGAGAAACTCTTTTGGGCATGACTATGCAAAGCAGGTCACAAAGGGCAAGTATCCTGCCCAGAGGCATTCAAGGGAAATTAAGATGCTTAGAGGATCTCACTTTGCTTTGAATTAATCCTAGTTTCCAGTAAGATTAAATAAATCAATAAATAAAAATTGAGTAAATGGCTTTGAACCTGGCTACCTGAAGGACCTCCTTTTCTCACACATGCCTGCTCAATCATTAAGATCTGAGCAAGAAACCTTCTGGATCTGCCATCACTCAAGGAGCTGAGAGGGCTGATAAATAGAAGCAGGGCCTTTTTGGTGGCTGCCTCCCACCTGTGCAACAGGCTCCCCAGAGAAGTGCCAACTCTGCTTTTATTTTAGCACCAGGCAAAAACATACCCATTTTAATAATTGATTTTAATAGTGGATTTTTAGAGGTTTATTAATTTTTATTGTATTTTAGTAAATTTAGTTGTCCATTTCACCTGGACGTGTTTTTTTTGAATTGGTTATATTATTATTATCATTTTGCTATTTATATTTTAATGATGGTTTTAATTCTGTTCTGTTGTAATTTTACTGTTGTATGCCGCCTGCTGAATCTATTTGAATACTTGGCAGCTTATAAAAATAAGAGTAAAGTCTCAGCACTGAGGAAGGTGGCTGGGGGCTTGTTAGTACCCAGGGCCATCATGTCGCCTATCCCTAATTTATTCTTTTTAATAAAATTATTGAAAGCCAGGAAGCCTGTTCCAGAGAAAACCTGACTTTGACATTTTTCTCTTTGTAGAACATGCTAGGATCTAATGGTCAGCTGTGCTTCTTATTTACCTTAAGCTCCATTTTTATCTAGTATTGATGCATCTGAATCTTAAGGAGGCTTGATTTTTCACTTCCAAAGTTGCATTTTGGAGTGCATGAAAATAATTGCCAAAAAAAAAAAAATCCCTACCCTTTATCCTTTTCTACATTTTTTTTTAAATCTCACACTAATTCACCCCAGTTGCTTCCTCAGTTCACTGAAGAAGCTAGGAATATCTAGTATATCTTTGCTTCTGCAGGTAACTGGGCCAGCACTCTCCATCGTGGCAGACAGCGCTGGAGAATTCATCACACCTCAGAATTCTGAGGCAATACTTTTACCCCAGTCCAGCTCTAGGCACATATAGCTCTCTACACATGACTAGTTGAGACGGAGTATGGATGGGATACATATTTTGATAGCATCTGCATGCTTATCTCACTGAAATAAAAGCTGTACAGAGGGATGACTGCAATTTCTTTAATGTAGATAATCAGCCATCTGTAAGGTATATGTTTTAACAGAATGGACATTTTCATTCCATGTTTTGACCCAAGCATGTCTGAGTTAGAACAAAGGAGTGTCAGTTCATTTGCCTTGGCAATAGAGAAAGTTCCCTTTTAACTATCTCCTCTGTTTTGTCCTTTCACAGAGGTGTGTGAAAAATCATCATAAATAGGGTCATAAAGATGACAAAAATAGCCAAGAAATATTTTCTTGTAGTTGAAAAAGTATGTGAACATCTATCAGATAACTGTTAGACAGCTACCTTTAGGACAGCAGGAAAAACTCAAACAGGTAGAAAAGTCACTGTTGAATCAAATCAGGGAAGAGTAAAATTGGGCCTTCCAGATGTTGTTGGAACACATTTCCCATCATCCTTCACTATTGGATGTGCTGGCCAGTGCTGATGGCTGTTGCAGTTCAGTAATATCTGGAGGGCCTCACATTTCTCGCCCTTGAATTATATACCAGATTTCATCATTTGAGCTTTCTCTCTTTCTCCCTCTTTTTAAAAATTACAACTGTATTTATAGATATATATTAATATATTTTATTTAATTGGCACAGTAATATGTAGCTGAATATAGTTCCTTTGAAATGGATCATGTTTCAATCAGATTGAGAATTACAGTGGTACCTCGGCTCACGAACACCTCAGTTCACGAACAAATCTGATCGCAAACAAAAATTTCATTAAAAATTTGCCGCAGGTTGCAAACTCTGCCACGTTTGTGCTGGGGGGGCGGGGAGATGGCTGCACCTGCGCCCATGTTCCCTGCCCTAGCACATCTGTGCCCACCTCCCCCCAGCATGCCCACGATCGCGTCCATCTCTCCCCGCCCCCCGCATGATTGCTGGTGGAGTGGGGGAGATGGCTGCGATCTTTGTTGTTCTTTGTCACTTTGCTTCAAATTTTTGTGAGTAAAAGAATAGTTGCAGGACAGATTAACCTTATTTACATTGACCCTTATGGGGAAATTTGACTTGGCTCACAACCAATTTGGGTCACAACCAGAGTCCTGGAACGGATTAAGTTTGTGAGCCAAGGTACCACTGTATATATGCTTTTCATGCTTCAATGCTATTCCTTTTTGTTCCTATGTATATCCAGTTGCATTTGGTGTAACTTACTACTGACCATGTGTAGGATTAGTTTACACAGGCCATTAACTTCAGCTGGGGGTTTAACCCAGTGTTTCTCTTTGTGACCTGAGTGCTTCATTTTTATGGTGGTTCATTTCTCTGTTATTTTTATCAATCAGAAATAATCATAAAGAAAATCCATTGACTTAGTCTGTGTTTGTAGCCCATACAGCTGCAAAGAAGCTCCATGCATTTTGATTTATATCCCTGATGGGCATACAAAAGAAATGCCAACATCTGGATCTAAGGAGAAGGCCAAGGCAGAAACAGCAAAGAAAGAGGTAAGGAAATTCAGTTCACATATGTATTGTTAGTCAAGAGTGATATCCTAAGATGTTACGTAGTGTTAAACTCAAATTAACAAAATGAAATTCAACACACAAAGGGTTCTGTTTTAAGGAGATGTAGGAATCAAATCTGATGGAGGATACCTGGCTTGGCAAAAATACACGTGAAAAGGATTCAGAGTTTTAGCCTGTGACAAGCTGGACATGAGTCAGCAATGCGATGCATCTACAAAAAAGAGGAATGCACTTTTAGTGCCACAGTTTGGAATACATGAGGAAGAGTTCTTCCACTTTACACTGCAGCTTATCTGAAAAACTTTATAGAGTTTGGGGAACTGCATTGTTAAGAAGGTTATTTACAATTAGAGAAGGGTTCAGAGGCAGGCAATGAAGATGGAGAGGGGCATGTAAAACATGTTCTATGTCAAATACTTGAGGGCCACATTGTTGTTGTTGCTGCTGCTGCTGCTGCTGCTCCTCCTACTACTACTACATTGTATTTATATTCTGCTGTTTCTCCTCTCGAGAGGAGCCAAGGCAACTTACATAGCCCAATTTTACTTTCACAATAAGAACCCTGTGAGGTAGGTTGGGCCGGCAGTCTGAGTTTTTTAACCTGGAAAAGAAATTACAGATAACACTTTTCAAATACCTGGAAGTTTATCACATAGAAAAACACAAAGACTTGTTAAGTTATAGAAGGGGAGATTTTGATTTAACATTATGGGAAACTTTTTGATGGTAAGAACAATTAGATAATGAAATTAATTACAAGGGCCGCTCTTCACTGAAGATTTTCAAGCTGGCTATCTGTTGGGAATGCTCTGCATTACCTGCATAAAGCAAGTTATTGGACAATGGCCTATAATGTTCCTTCCAGTTCTGGAGTACTATATTCCCACATTCCCATAAATTCCTAGACTAGACCTTGAACAAATTATTGCTGTCCCTTACTCCTGCCCTTCCCATAAGGTCCTCATTTCTGAATGGGTGAAAATGTAAAGATTACTTTATAAGATTTTGTGGGATACTTGTCATAAAAAGGAGGTTAAACTAGTCAAATATCTACCTCCAGAACAGCTGTGATAAGTATAGAAATGTGTTCACTTTTGAACAGCAAGGAAATAGTCAAAAGAACTGGAAGGTTTCTAAACCAGCCAAAGCCGATGTATGAAAAGCTAGTATATACTTTTTTCCCTTTTCCCCTCCTCCTTTGTCATTTGAATCTATCTTATTCCAGGCTGGGCTAGGGGTGGTCACATTTGTAGCATCATGGTACATATTGAAATGAATGGGTTTTGTAGTGCCAGGGGACTGTTTCACAGTTATACTTGGAACAATAAGCAGTAGTTTGTTTTTTCATGCAATATATATATTTGATTTCTTGGTTTTCATCATTTTGATTTGTCAGGTACATTGTAAAAATATCAATTTGTTTTTCTTTTCAAAGGCTAGTACCACCCTGAAAGGACACTCTGCTCCAGTTGGGGGTGATGTTTTTCATGCTACAGCTCCTGTTTCAGCTGAAGACCACTTAGCTCTTTTCAACAGAGTGTCTGCTCAAGGTGATGCAGTTCGTGACTTGAAATCAAAGAAAGCAGCAAAGGAGGACATTGATGCTGCTGTGAAACTCCTGTTGGCCTTGAAAGCAGAATACAAGGAGAAGACTGGACAAGACTACAAGCCTGGAAATCCTCCAGTTGCAGTACCTGCGGTCCAGCCTTCCAAGTGTGCGGCTACTAGCGTGGTTACTGCTGATGATAGCAAAGTTCTTTATGATAAAGTAGCTGAGCAAGGGGAAGTGGTCCGAAAATTGAAAACAGAAAAAGCACCCAAGGTTAGTTGGGGCAGAAATTGACCCCATTTTTGTATTAGAAGACAGCTTTAGATAGTCAAAATCCTTTTTATGCAATGGTCACATATCTGACTTTTCCCTCCTTCACTGAGGATAGGCAAGGGAATTAACTTTGAACATTTAAGAGGTAGCCAAAATATATTGGAGGGAAGAAACTGTTCAAAATGCTGGTAACATAGACCCTTAAAAATAAGAACCAACAGATACCAAAAAAACTATAATTTTACTCTTTTAAACATTGATTGATTGATTGATTGATTGATTGAATTTTTGGCCAACCCCATTAGCTGCATGGCTGCCTAGGCTGGTTACAAACAATAAACAACTATATAAAACATTAAAAGCACACTATTAAACACAATAAAAGCTCACTTATATTGCATCTTAACTTAATCGAACCTACATTTACATAAAAGGAATAACCACAATCTGTTTCATTTTATATACTATTGCACTATACTAAGTTCTTCCTTTTCTTTCTTACTTCCTTTAAACTCTACTTTCAATTCTTATTTTAGGATCAGATAGATGCTGTAGTGAAAGTACTTCTAGCTTTGAAAGCAGAATATAAGCAAAAAACAGGCCAGGAATACAAACCGGGCAACCAACCGAAGAGTTTCCTTCCTAGTTCAGTTCCTTCTGTTGCTCCTTCTTCTGTGCCCCTCTGCCCAGAAGTCAGCAAAAATATTTATTGTAAAGTAGCTGAACAAGGTGAAGTGGTTCGTAGACTTAAGTTGGACAAAGCACCAAAGGTATAATGACCATGGAAGTAAAAGGGTTATTGAATAAGCTGTTTTTAAGTTGCAGTAGTAGGTCCCTAAAATGTACAAAATGAAATTATAACTCAGGGATGTCCTGCTTTGTTTTTCAACCTTTTCATATTGAGGTATTAAATAATAAGTATATTTTGTTTCTTAATGTTTTGAGCTATTGTATGTAACTCAGGTTATTATTTTGTCCAAGCAGAGTAAAACTTGGATGCCAGGGCTTACAAATTAATCTGCAGTTTGAATAGAATCTAAGAGGTAGTGATAATGTGCCATTACTGTTATTTTTTGCTTGCTCACTTGATGGCTTCATAGATACGCTTGTGCATTTGCTTGTGTGAGGGCATGTATGTGTATCTACATGAAGCTTTCAGCTGAACAGGTCTTAATGCAAGCATTCTGATATGCTTCAGGCATGGCTGCTATTCAGTTAATTGGAGCTTTTATAGGAGAGGGTCCTCATGAGTTGTGCCAAAGACACTAGCCTTTCTTATTGCATATGAACATTTTAGAAAATTCTAAAAGGTTTTGGGAAAGACTGTAGGTAAAGGAAACAAACAGAAAACCTCCCATTAAAGCCCACAGAACATTTGGACAAAAATAGTATTGTCACTACAAGGAGTGGGCAAGTCTTTAGTATTAGACAAGGTGTTTATCCAAGATATCAGGGGGAAGGGAAGTGTATGTGTGTGTGTTGAGAGAGAGAGGCAGGAAATGGCAAAGATCAAGCTTTCCTTTTTGGACTAACATTCAAATTCAGTGAACTGTGGGTTTATGGTTTGATTTCTTGTTTTAACTAGCCCAGGTAGATCAAACCACAGTTTGCCCAAGTTCAGACAGAACAAGGAACTGTGGTTTGTTCAGAAGCTTTTGATCTTCTTACAGGTGGAGGGATGGGGAGGAAGGAACACCAAAGCATAAAGTTCATGTGCAGTCTCATTCAGATGACCATATGCCATGGTTTTATTAAGGACATGAGGCAATGCTTGCTTGCTTCCTTCCTTCCGTCCGTCTGTCCTGAACTGAGACTGTGTAGTTTTAAGAAACATTTCCACTGTTACTGATACAATATATTCTCTTCCTGCTTCAGGATCAGATAGATGCTGCTGTGAAAGTGCTTCTTGCTCTAAAGACAGAATATAAGGAAAAGACAAATCAGGATTATAAGCCCGGACATCCACCTACAGCTCCTCCTCCTCTCTCTTCATCTTCTTCCTTATCCTCTTGTACTTCTGATCTTCCTCCTCCTCTGTCTTGCAATGGTTTGACATCTTCTAGCACAATAGACAGAGAAGCTCTGTACAATAAGGTAGCTGAACAAGGAGAAGTGGTGCGGAAACTCAAGGCAGAAAAGGCTTCCAAGGTAGAATAGTGATAAATATTCATAAGTCTGTTGTGATTCCAAGTCTCTATGCATTAGCAATACTGAACCCAAGTTTAGCAGAGGGGTTTTCAGGTGATTTCAAAGGCATTGTGATCCTGGATAACTGCTAGTAATTCTTTCATATATCTGGATTTAATTGTTTGTGGAATTGGGCCATTTTGAGCCACCCTGAGACAATTTTGGTTTGAAAAATAGCATATAAATTCTTAAAAAATAATACTGTGATAGCTAGAAATAGTAGCTACTAATTTAAAACTGTATGTTGCTGTCTTACCTCTTGTATCTTGCCTGCATATTCCAGAATATGTATGTAACTTTGGGGATAAATGCAATTATTGCTTTTTCTTAACAATGTTTTCTACAGGACAAAGTGGATGAAGCTGTAAAAGTCCTCCTTTCTCTGAAAGCAGAGTACAAAGAAAAGACTGGTCAGGACTATAAGCCAGGACAACCACCATCACCTCAGACAAATGCCTTAAGCCAACCCACAAGCACAGAAATCAGTGGTTCTAACTCCCCAGAAGCAAAAGCCCTCTTTAACAAGGTTGCTGCCCAAGGAGAGGAGGTTCGGAAATTAAAATCACAGAAGGCAGAAAAGGTAAGTTGATTAACAGTTTTGTTTATTTGATTGGATTCTGGAATGCCTACTCATTGCATTCATTTTTATTTGTAATTGATAACAACATCCTGACCTCCAGTTGCAAGAAATCCTCTACTTGATGCCATGTGTTCTGTAGTTCTCTAATTTGAATTTTCACTTTGGAATTTTATGACAATTATTTATTGCTCTTGCAGGATACATTAACTTGTTACAGAATCCTAAAGACACCTGCCTGTAATCACAGGCTGGCAAGCAATAGTAGTTGCCTTTCAGATCAGTGGTCATGACACCCTATAACTCAAGTTGTCCTTTACATCTGAGTTAAGCTTAGTTTCACTGTGCCTGAGTTCTGCCACACTGCCTGGAAAAATGCTAGACTTAAGAAAGCCTAATTATATGTTCATACTATTTTGTGGCCTGGATTGTGTAACAACAACTCAGAATATGTATTTCATTGAATTGGGGTTTGTTGTTACATGTGATTCATAAACTATTGTTTAACTATGAATTGCTAACCATTCCCACATCCCAGTGGCACACCATGGGTTTTCTTCCTGGGTTGCTTGTGCTTAATGACCCAGAGTTAAACCACAGTGAAGGACTGTGGCATGTATACTTGACAGGCCATATTCACTCCCTAACTCTGAGTTGTGTAACCACGGAATCGTAACTGTTTTATGTTTGCATAATCTCCATTAAACTATTTCATTATTATCTGTAAAGTACACGACACTTTACAAAATAATGTAAGCAGAAAAGTCTTGATTCCTCTTCTAAGGACCATATCTAAATTTCAATAGGGGAAAATACAATGAGAGGAAGTGAATATATGATGTTGTCTTTTAAAATTAAGACATAGCACGGGTCTATCTGGCCACTAATCTACTCTGATTAGTGGTGGCTCTGCAAAATAACCTTATTCAGGCATTCTGGAACTAGAACAAACTCACGAGAAGGAGCACACCACTCCACCTCCTCCCATTACTGCATCCATTGCCCTCTGCTTGTGGAGGCTGATTGAAAAAGGAGAGCTCCTGTACCTGTGGAGGTGCTCCACGTGAGCCGGGATGCTGGAAGACCTATGCTGTGGCTCTGCCTCCACTGATACAGGAAACTCTCTGCTTAAGACAGTCACTATTCATAAGTAGTGAGAAATGGGATGAGATAGTGAAGTGGGGACAGGACTTGGATGCACCTTCTTTGATGCATTTTCACTAACTTGGATTCAGAATGCCTGAGCTACTGTTTGTAAAAGACCTCCTTTCCGATCCCATCTATCACTTTATTATATTTCCATACCACCCAATAACCAAAATTTTCTGGGAAGTTCACAGAACACAGTATTTCATAAAATACAACAGTATTGTAAGTGCACAACATAAAAAAGAGTTAAGTGTCTTAAACAGAATAAACCTAATAAAAGCTGCTTTTCCAGTCTTTGCTCGTCTATTCACATGTAAATGCTAATGTGTATAACACTGAAAATCCCTAACTGAACCTTCAAGTTACGTTGGATCCTTCCTTTCAGCATGTGTTCGCTGGTTGTATCTCACATAGTTCATGCAGCTAACTTTATTATTTTTGGCTGGAGATGGGGTGGGGAAGGGTGGTGTTATTGCTGGTGTGTCATGGTAATGGTTTCTTTCCAAAGGATAAGATTGATGCTGCAGTGAAAGAGCTGCTTCAGTTGAAGGCAGAGTACAAGTTGTTGACAGGAATAGACTATAAGCCAGTCTCTGCAACCGGTTTAGAGGAGAAAGACAAAAAAAAGAAGGAGAAAGAGAATAAATCTGAAAAGCAAAATAAACAACAGAAAGAAGGTCAGAAGAAAGAAACACTTAAAGATCCATGTGGTGAGAGCAACCTGTCTTCAAATGGTCCAGGAGATGGTCAGGGTCCTAAGAAACAAACCAGGTAAAAAGTCCACATAAGATGTGCTCTGAGCAGTGTGATAAAGGGAAGAATTAAACCAAGAATGGAAACATCTGGTCCTCCAGATTTTTTAAGCCTACAGTTCCCAACAAGTGCTAGCCAGAATAGGATCATGGGAGTTGCAAGCTAAAACATCTGGAAGGCTGAAATTCACTCACTCCTACACTAAGCATTCAAATTTGCTATGTGCCATTTGATGGGGATAATATTAAGTAAAAAGAAACCATTTCTAGTCCAGGTGGTTTTTCATATATGATAGAACACCAGAAGATATTCCTTGTTGTCTTTGAACCACTGTTTAGAATGCATTTAGGATCAGCAATTTTCTAGGCTCTGTGTAAAGTGAGAGAAAGGAGTTAATAAAATGTTGTGATGGCAAAAATGGTGGCAAAATCAGAAAAACCAGAACATCCTGGAACTGGGAAAAATCTAGTAGAGTATACTTAATGTATTAGTATATGACGGACTATGGCAATTTGAATATTTCTGCTGTTACTGTGTGTGTGTGTGTGTGTGTGTGTGTGTATGAGAGAGAGAGAGAGAGAAAGAATAGGTATGTTTAAATTTAAGTTTGGATAGTTTTCCTGATGTAAAAGACCAGTGGATTGCTGCTTTAATAATACAGTAATGTTGTTGCTACCTGTTGGCAGGGGAGGTATTAAATATTGATTTATTTTTCTTTCAAATATTACAGGTTGGGTCTAGAGGCAAAGAAGGAAGAGAATCTAGCTGAATGGTATTCTCAGGCAAGTACATCTCAAGGTTTCCATTCACATACTTTTGCTCAAAATAAACTGCTTGTAAGAACTCTGGAGCAGCTTCTGTTGGTGAAATTAGGAATTATTTTCTGGACTGCTTATGTTTATGAGGCTACTAATTCAAGCTCTCTACAGTGAAATTTGTCCATTGATGGGATTGCTTTCTTCAACAGAACCAGGAAGGCAATTTCCACTCTCACCTGCATTTCCTCAAAATCGGTCATTTCCTCAAAATTTTCCTTTGCAGCAAAATTCTCTAGGTTTTAAAACGGTCCAAATTGTCCTCTGTGTCCTCTTCCTAGTCTTGCACCTTTCCCATGCTATCCTGAGTATGTAGGCGCTTGGGAAAGTGGAAAAGTGCAGTCCATTCCAATTATGGGAATACTGTCAAAAGTAAGGCTTTCTTTTAAAACAGGGCATAACAGGATTTATTTATATATTTTTGGAGAGGGACATATACAGAATCCATGGCTGTGTATGTCCCTGTAAAAACCCCTGGTTTAGTCCTGTTAAAAACCATGCTGATGTAGTTACCCCCTATCCAACCACCCACTAGCTATTAACAGAAAGCAAAATGATGTACTTGAAGCCTCGCTGGCCAGTTAGGATGCCACCAGCTTTGACAAGAGGCACTTAACAGGATGTTAACCAGGCAAAGCTTCAAATTTCTGGTGTTCAGATTTGTGTAGTTGCACAACTCCAAACAGTTGGTGCGACTGTCGCATTGGAGATCACAAGGAGCAATTGCCTCTCCCCACAAAGAGAGAGGAAAAGACTGGGTCTGATCAGAGGCAGGGGAGCAGACAAGATGGTTCTGGCACGAGTTACCTGCAGGAGGCCAATGGGAAATTGAAGGTGACAACCCACAGTGAGCCTGATCGTCTGGGACACCATGGGCTGTTACATGAACAGCCCACACTGTGTAACTTCCTGACAGGAAGAAATCTGTGCCTAAAAACAAAGCCAGCTTGAAAAATTCAGCTATCTAGACTGCCCAAGAGATTGAATATGCAGAAGTTAATATGAACCAAGAGAGCACACTTGGAGAAGTTATTGTACTAGCAATTCGTAAGTTTTACTAACAGATATATAAAATAAACAGATCCTATATAGTACATTTGTACATTTGATAAACTGTTCTGATAAGAGTTGTTGCTGTAGTCTCATACATGGGTTGCAGTTCAATACACAGTTCCATTTACATCAATGGAATATATGTAACTCTGATTTTGTTATAACAAAACAGGGTTGTTGCAAAGATAAGGTTGAGAGGAGGAGGAGGATTATGTAAGCTGCCTTGAGTTTCTTGAAGGAAGAAGGGTGGGATAGAGAAATGTTAAATAAATAAAATGTGACAACTATTTCATTGGATGCTTCCATCTTCCCTCCGTTTACCCTTTCATCTTTTCTGTTTGCTTTTCTCTGGTACAGAGGTGTCTGATTTGAGGGGGGAGAGGTGCCAAATTATCCCACATTGAGCCCTTGGTGGGCCAGATGAGGTCGGAGGACATGGCCATGCCTAATGCTATCATTGCCCTTGGCCTCACGCTTTTCTCTCCCTCCATGGAGAAGGAGCCCCGGCAGAGCTGGCTGCCCCTCCCTGTACCACCTTTGTCTGACCAGGACTGTCCCAAGCCAAGGGAAAGCGTGGCTGCACCTCCCAGGGTCAGCCACCTGACCTTGGAAACACCAGCAATTCCTCCAGGTGGTGGTGCTTGGAACACAAGCAACCCAAGGAGGCTCCATAGGCCAGACCTCTGATTTGGCCCACAGTCTGCATCTGTATTTAATCTTACTTTAATCACAGTAGCTAAGCATTTCTCTTTTCAGTCAGCAACATTCTTCCAATAACACAGACGTATTCCTGTTTCCTTGTAAAGGTGATCACAAAGTCAGAGATGATTGAATACTATGATGTGAGCGGGTGCTACATTCTCCGTCCGTGGGCTTTTTCTGTCTGGGAAGCCATCAAGGACTTCTTTGATAGTGAAATCAAGAAACTTGGTGTGGAAAACTGCTACTTTCCTATGTTCGTGTCTCAGGCTGCTTTAGAAAAGGAGAAGACGCACATTGCTGATTTTGCTCCAGAGGTAAATATTGATATTCTGTGAATTTGAACATTGCGTGCTGTTTGTTTGCAGACATTTAAGCACTGGTTGTAAATTAAATGCAGAGTTTGTGCATGTGGCACAGTTAAAGATAGCTGCATGTGTTCTGTGAAAGGCACCCTCTGACAATGAATTGGGTGGAGAGGGGTTGGTATGCCTAGGAGCCCTGTGTGTGTTCTAGAGTGCTGCTCTCTGCAGGCTCTCGGTGGGTAACTGTGAAAGCAATAATGCATGCAGTTAAATATGTTTATACTCAAACAAAATTGTACTTCCTACATTAACAGGAGTGATATGAAATATATATTAAAATGATGTTTTGTTTATGTTGATTTTAGGTTGCATGGGTTACAAGGTCTGGAAAAACAGAGCTAGCTGAACCAATAGCTGTGCGTCCTACTAGTGAGACAGGTAACATTTAAGGCTTGATAGTAAAACATAGTAGCTAAACATTTCCCTTTCAAGGATTGACTACAAACTCATGATGTTGGCTTCCGGATTTGGTCATTAACTGGAAATATGTAAAGTAGAAAAGACTAAATAGTTTGTTAAAAGGAAGACAAATGGGATGGAAAATACAGGTTGCATCTGGACCTGGTCATCCTTAGAATACATCCATCCAAGCACAGATCCAACTCTTCATCCTATTTAATTTTTGCTTCTAAAACCTTAGTTTTTTTTACTTGTCAGTGCTTAATCTACACTGTTACTTCTTTATTATTGTGAACAAAAGCTACTATGAAATCAGGCTTTCGGAACAAACAGTTGTAAGATTAGTTGCATGATTTCAGAACATATTCTTTTTTTCCCTTATGTTATAGTAATGTATCCTGCCTATGCAAAATGGATTCAGTCACACAGGGATCTGCCAATCAAACTCAATCAGTGGTGTAATGTTGTGGTAAGTACAGGTTGTATTAAGCAGCTAAGTACAGAGTGGGTGTTATCCAGCAGAGCATAGTTGCTAATGTAAATTATGTTGCACAAAGAAAAGCCGCTCTAGCACATCCCCAGTAGAGTTTCCTGTGGAAACTGCATGCAAGGCTTTCCTGTGAAAATTAGCTTAATCCCACTGGCATTGCCAATAGCGTGTTCTTTATGGTATCACATAGGCTCTGGCTGCAAGGTGGTACTGGGTGTAGCTGGCTCCAGCTCCCTCAGTCTTGCAGCTTCTCAAACTGAGAGGCTCAAGGCTCTCTGTCCTGCTCCGATGATTGGATCTTGACATGAATAGACAATACAATGAATTCTGCTAAACCTGCTGAAGGGTTCACCTGACCACTTCATTCTTGATGGCAGGATTTAACCCAGTATAGAAATGGAACCGCTGGACTGCTTCATTACACTCAGAATCAGCTGCCAAGCAGTAGAATATTGCTGCACATCTGCAGCTGAACACTGCCCATTTCAAAGGCTGGAGAGCCAGTTCAGCACTGTATTCACTATTGGTAGCTAACACTGATTAATAAAGCCTAGCAAGTCCTTTTGCTATCTGGAAAAACAGCTTGGCAGAGGTACTGCTGGGTCAAACTACTTGCTTCATGGCAGCTTGGGTCAGGATGCAGAGCAAATTGCAAGGGTCCAGGGCATGGGAGGCAGGGCACCAGGCATATGCACCAGGACCCAGGCAACAGGAGTCAAGACAGCACAAGTTCAGAGTCCAGTAGTCCAAGTTCACAGAGTTCAGAGTCCAATAACATGTCCAGAGTCAGCATCACACCAGTCCAAGGTCAGAGCCAAAAACAGGTAACAAAGCAAGGCACAGTAGTGTCTGATAGGCAATAACATAGTCACACAGGAGAGTGGTCACAAACCAGAGAGACAACACAAGAAGGGTCAGGTACCTTGGAATAACTAAGCAGAGTGGGAGAGGCAGGGGACCCGGGCAAGGCAAAGCAGGAAGAGAAAAAGATGCAAGAACTAGCTGCAAAATACTGAAAGATGATGTAGCTGAGACAGCTTCTGGAGGAAAGAGCCTGCTCTTATAGTTATTCCCCCAGGGCTCCCAAATGGTGCTTGTCAAAGCCCTGTCAGTTACAACAGTCTGGAACTAATGTAGAGCCAGTGTGGTATAGTGGTTAAAAGCATGGGACTGGGACTCAGACGACCTGGGTTCTAGTCCCCGCTCAGCCATGGAGCCAACTGGGTGACTTTGGGCCAGTCACAGACTCTCAGCCCAACCTACCTCACAGGGTTGTTGTTGTGGGGATAAGATGGAGGAAGAGAATGATGTAAGCTGCCTTGAGCCCTTTGTAGGAAAAAGGCAGGATATAAAAAAAACAAACAATCATTCATGCAATTACTAGGATCGTTATTCTGGTGCTAAACCAGCAGATGGAGCCCTGGAGCTGCCCAAATCTTGAAAAGAGGACCGTCAAGGATAAGACATTTTGGAGGGCATTCATTCCTATGGTCCCCATAAGTCAGAGATGACTTGATGGAGCATAATAACAATTTATTTATTACATTTCTATACTACCCAGTAGCTGAAGTTCTCTAGGCAGTTCACAAAATCAACATATGTAAAATAAATAGTATCTTCTGAATATGAAAATATGCTAAAATCAAAATGTAATTCAAATAATTAGATAATATGCTTAAATCGAATAATCTTTGACTTCATTTTGTGAATAGTTTATTAACAAGTAAAATCCGTATGGCTTTGAATTAATAAAGTTTGATTCATTATTAAAAACAGTTCTGGGCAACATTAAACTTGTTTTGAAAGTAAACTGGTTGATGATGATTGTAAGTTTGCATGATGGACTTTCTTGGGTTTTTGTCTTGAAGCGTTGGGAATTCAAACATCCACAGCCTTTCTTGCGTACTCGCGAATTCTTGTGGCAGGAGGGACACACAGCATTCTCAACTTATGAAGAAGCAGCAGAAGAGGTAAAACATGCTGAATGATTTTGATAAATTACATTATTCATCTTCCCATGTTTTCAGAGGACATACGATCGTACCAGCGGTTCATTCAGTCTACTACTCTATTCAAACAGTGGCAAACCAGGTGCCCACAGAATCCCTCGGGCAGGATTAGTGAAAGAGTTCCATTTGCCCAAGCTCCTCAGCAACTGATGTATGTAGGCATGCCATCTCTGATGACACAAGTAGCCCATAGGGCTAGTAGCCATTGATAGCCTTCTCCTCTTTGAAGTTGTCAGTCCCTCTTTAAAGCTATGCAGATTGGTGGCCATCACTATTTCCTGTGGCAGTATAGAAAATACTGTGTAATTATGTGCAGTGTGAAGAAGTCCGTTCTTCTATTTGTCCTGAATCACGAACCAAGCAGTTTCAAGGTTCCTGGTTCTATTAGTATGGGAGAGGGGGAAAAATGTCTCCATCTCCACTTTCTCCACACTATGCATAATTTAAAACACTTCTATCTTGCCTCCCCTTATTTGCCTTTGCCATTTTTCTAAGCTAAACAAGCATAGTTATTGTAATCTTTCCCCATAGGGGAGTTGGTTTAACTCCCTCCAGGACAATAGAAAAATAAATAGATAAATATTACTGAGCTATTTGAGAAGTAGTTTTAACAAACTAACAACTTTGTGTTGTGCATAATTTCCTGTTTATATTAGGTAAAGAGAATCTGCTTTGTATTTTAGGATAATTGTTCCAGGGACAAAAACCAGTAAATCTCTTACCAAGAAGGATACATTGTGACTTTTGGGCATGCCATGTTGAATGCTTTTAGACTTAGTTTTTCCACAGAAGGATGTACAGTGATTTCATTAAATGCCATTGAGTTGTTTCCTGTTCTTGTTAGCACTTTGTAATAAATTGTGGATTCTTGGCTTTTGTAGGATACCACGTTTAAACCAAATTTAAAGTAAGTGCTAAGTTTTCTAACTTTTAATCTTTTAAAATTAATTTTATTACTGCTTCCAGGTATTACAGATTCTTGATCTGTATGCTCGAGTGTATGAAGAACTGCTTGCAATTCCAATTGTGAAAGGAAGAAAGACAGAAAAAGAGAAATTTGCAGGAGGAGATTATACAACCACTGTTGAAGCATTTATTTCTGCAAGTGGGCGAGCTATCCAGGTATACATTAATATGCTTTTAAATACTATTTTAATAAACATAAGGTATCTGGACTGAACCAAACTTTTGCTGTATTTTAGGGAGCAACATCACATCACTTGGGACAGAATTTTTCAAAGATGTTTGAGATAGTCTTTGAAGATCCCAGAATACCAGGGGAGAAGCAATTTGCTTACCAGAACTCTTGGGGAATCACTACTCGAACCATTGGTGTAATGACCATGATTCATGGAGATAATATGGGTTTGGTACTGCCACCCAGGGTAGCTGGTGTTCAGGTGAGTAAAATTGTTGCTAATCCCAGTTTATCTTCTCCTCCCATTCTTGTTCTTTCCTATTTTCCAGAAAGGAGGGAGACACCCATCTAGATTAGTGAATTGTTCTTAAATCCTCTTGGCCTAAGTTAATAATTTCAGTGAGACCTAAGTGCAACTAATTTTACCTGGATGCAACCCACTGAGTTGCTTTGTGCAGCACCTGCTTTTTTCTGACAATCTGTTGAAGATGTGTGGAGGGGAAGCGAGATGATACTGTTGTTACCGTCATACAAAAAGCCTGAGGATGTCTTCAAAGAGCTTTGTCAGTTCTGTGTGTCAGACCTGTCTGCCATTGTTATCCAGTTATAACATTTGACTGTTTTTCTCCTTACATCATCAAAGTCTATTGAAAAACACTGAGAAGTAGTCCTATCCCTCTGAGTGTTTGGTATTTCTTCCCTTCAAATCAAGCAGTCTTGTAGTTTTCCTCAACTCTTGGACAGTTGGGTTTGAAAATGATTACTTAAAAAGCATCCCCAAATTTAGTGCCTGCATCTTATTATTCTGCAGACATTGAAGCATCTAATTGTATAACTTCTGCATCATTATTCAGGTTGTCGTTATTCCATGTGGCATCACTAATTCACTTTCGGAAGAAGACAGAGAGGCCCTGATGACAAAGTGTAATGAATATTGTAAGCGACTACTCACTGCTAACCTCCGTGTGAGAGCGGACTTGAGAGATAACTATTCACCAGGCTGGAAATTCAATCACTGGGAACTTAAGGTAAACATTGTTTCAGTTTTTCTCTCTTTTGACTGATTCATTATTGTCAGTTTGCTCAGTGTTTGTGACATGCATGGAACATAAAAGGAAGAAATCAGTATACCTTACCACCTGTGAACTTCTTCCATAAGTACATGCCATCTTTTGTTGTATCTGTGTTTTCTGACAAATCATCAAATCCAGAGTGGCCATGTGATTCCACCTCTCATTATACACTCTCTGCCACATGTTACCTTACTTCTAAGACTAGGAAAGAATAAAATGTTTTTATAGGTATGAATAAAACATTTAAGATACTTCCATATTGGGACAGTGTCCTTAGGATTCTTTGATTTGCACTTGGTTGGCATATGGAATAATTTTCAAAAATATTTCGTGAGAGTGTCCTCAAAATTATCAAGCGCTTAGGGGAATTACCTTCCCTTAAGTAGCTGTGTTCTGTGTAAGTAATGCAGACATGTAAAGAGCCACACAACATTCTCTTAATTACCTATTACTTCTTAGGGCGTTCCAGTTAGGCTTGAAGTGGGGCCACGAGATATGAAGAATCATCAGTTTGTAGCTGTTAGAAGAGACACAGGAGAGAAGTCTACATTTGCTGAAAGTGAAGCAGTGGACCAGCTTAGACGTGTTCTGGAGGATATCCACACAAACCTTTACAACAGGTTAAACATGGGGAAACCCATTTTCTCTTTTCAGTAACTGACACATTTAATAGAATATATGCTTCAATAATTTGTCTTCTACTTCATCTGTTTCCAAAGGCGTTGTTAGTCGCGAAGTCGTGTCCGACCCATCGCAACCCCATGGACAACATTCCTCCAGGCCTTCCTGTTCTCCACCATCCCCTGGAGTCCACCTAAGCTCACACTGACTGCTTCAGTGACTCCATCCAGCCACCTCATTCTCTGCCATCCCCTTCTTCTTTTGCCCTCAATTGTTCCCAGCATTAGGCTCTTCTCCTTCTCATTAAGTGGCCAAAGTATTTGAGTTTCAGCTTTAGTATCTGGCCTTCTAAAGAGCAGTCAGGGTTGATCTCTAGCACTGACCGGTTTGATCACCTAGCCGTCCAAGGGACTCGCAGGAGTCTTCTCCAGCACCACAATTCAAAGGCCTCAATTCTTCGGCGCTCAGCCTTCCTTATCGTCCAACTTTCACAGCTGTACATTGCAACTGGGAAAACCATAGCCTTGACTATATGCACTTTTGTTGGCAGGTGATCTCCCTACTTTTTAGTATGCTGTCTAGATTTGCCATAGCTTTCCTCTCCAGGATCGAGCGTCTTTAATTCTTGGCTGTAGTCACTGTCTGCAGTGATCTTGGAGTCCAGGAAAATAAAATCTGTTACTACCTCCATTTCTTCCTATCTATTTGCCTGGAAGTGAGAGGACTGGATGCCATAAAAGGCATAGGAGAACATTAGTATAAACTTACAGAATACCCTCCCAAAAGCAGTTCATCTTGTTATAATCCCTTGTTACAATCTTTTCAGTGCCAGGCAAAAACAACTTTATTTTCTAGACATTTTAATAACTGTTTTCATTTGCTAATTTTAGCAGAATTGTTTTAATGTATACTGTTTTAAATTGTTATCCCTCAGCTGTGTACTGTTTTGTGCTATTGCTTTTTCTTTTTTTATGGTTGTGTGTTTCAATTGATCGTTTTTATTGTTATAATGCCTTTTTATCGTAATCCACTCAGAGAACCTTTAGGCCAATTTAGTGGTATACAAGTTTAATAATAAATAAACACCTAAGAGCAAAGCTCTAAATAATTCAGCATCAACCAGATGTTTCTGGGAAGCCTACAAGCAGGGCAGGGCAGCAGTAGCCTTTTCGTACTGTTGTTCTCCAGCAACAGGTATTTCCAAGCCTTCGGGTCCTGGAAGCACCATGCAACCATCCTGGCTAGTAGCCGTTGATTACCCAATTGATTGTGCAGAGAAGACTAGTTGTTACAGTTGAATGGAACTAGGCTTTTATTTCTGCCTTTATTTCCTGCCTTCCTGTCATTTTCTTCACAATGTACTCCAACCACCTCAGATTTTTCTAACAGGTAGAAATATAGGGTGTCAGTTTTGTTGCTAACAAATCAAAAAGTCAACAACATAGTCACATTTGCTCTTTGATGTAACCCAAGCATGCAATCAATAAGAGAAGTTACTCACTCCTTTGACAACTGACATAGAATATCCCAACATTAGCCAATTCTTATATTTTCAGTTTTATTCTTTTACCAAATCTACTAAATATATAGAATCTACTAAATAAATAGAATCAAGTGTCTTTTAAAGTGATCTATAGTCATAAAAGCTTATGCTACAATAAAATACCATGAGGCTTATGTTCATACTCTGATGGAGATACAGGAGCTTCTTTAGATCTGCCCAAGGATTCAAGTGTGCCTACTAAACAATTTCACCCAATTTTAAAAGAACTATGTTATGGTTGTTGTTCAGTGCCCAAAAACTCAAAAGTCACCTTGGGCACATGGAATGAGTCGTGCAGTTCTCTGGATCCTGCCCTATGTTTATAATGACATTAACAAACAACAGAGTACTTTGCTTATAGACCAATCTTAAGTATTTTTATTTACAGCTAAAATGCACTAACTTCCAATTAAGAAAGTTTAGGTTTGTAGTCTTGGGAGTTTTTTCAGTTTAGACAAAAATCTGCTTTGAATTACTACACCTTTATAATTGCCACTTTTAAAGAAAAATAGAGTAAAACTACTGAGTAAAAAAAGTTGGGAAATAACTTTGTGCTTGTCAAGATTGGCATTGAATATCCTAACCTGTGAAAAATCTTCTAGAAGGTCAGTCCCTGAAACTTCACTTTTGTTAAGTCAAGAAATGTAGTCCACCCCTCACCCTTCTCCTTCTGTACCTGGTAGAAAAAACACCTGGATTGTCTGTAACAATTATCACAGTCTGTGATATGTGTATGCATACCCATAGTTTTGTTATCACTTTGCATGACTAAATTTCTTCCTTTTAGAGCTGCTGAAGACCTTAAGAGTCATATGGTGGTGGCAAATACTATGGAGCAGTTTCAGAATGAGCTGGATTCAGGAAAGGTGAGGAACTGGTATTTTGATTAAAGTGCATGCACACATAAAAGCCTTATGGGGCAATGCTGTGCATGATTAGTCCGAAAGATTTGTGATCTATTTCTCTTTGATTTATTTCCCAACCATGAAATGTGCATATATTTTCATATTAAAGGGTAAAAATGTATCAGTCACTTTAAAACCTTGTTAGAGTTTGCAGGATGGACTGAGTGATGTTGCCCTTCATGGTGTCCCTACTTAATCTATCTTGCCCAGCAACCTTCTGAAGGTTCTTTTTTGACAGCTGACAACGTTGACACAGTAACTGCTCTGAGAAGTAGCTGCAGAAAGGAGATGGCCTTAATCTCTCCTGTTTCTGGGCTAGATAGAGACTTGGAAAGTATCCCAGTGGAGGAAAGTAAGAAGTTCCAGCATTACACTTAAAACCCAGAGGATTGCCTTGCTAAGGTGGAAGTTGGCAGCCCACCCCCTTTGGATGCACTTACTTTCATGGGTTTACTCTTGCTTGCTGGTGCTTTCCACTTCAAAGCTAGGCACTTCACACCTGTCAGCTGTTTGCAGTATAGCCTGCATCCAATCTTGCCTCATTACTCTGGTACCATTTGACAGCTATAACTGAGAAGGCAATGTACCAGACAAGATTGCATATATCAGAAAGGCGGAAGGCCATACTTATGCAACTCCAAAGGACAGGCAGTGCTTTCTGGAATCTCTGAAAAAGAAAAGTTACATAAGAACATAAGAAAAGCCATAATGAATCAGCCCAAATGTTCATCTAGGCCAGCACTCCGTACACATGGTGGCAAACCAGCTGCTCACAGGATCCCTCAAGCACGATGGATGCAAGACCTCTACCTGCCCAAGCGCCTCAGCAACTGGTGAATGCAGGCGTGCCACCTCTGGTAAAGAAGGTGGCACATATAACCAGCAGGGCTAGTAGCCATGGATAGCCTCCTCCCTCATGAATCTGTCCAATTCCATTTTACAGCCATCCAAATTGGTGGTCATCACCACTTCCCCAGGGCAGCGAATTCCATATTCACTACGTGAAGAAGTACTTCCTTTTATCTGTCCCAAACCTCCTACCAGTCAGCTTTGTGGAATCACGCTGGGCTCTAGTGTTCTTCATCGTGTTCTCTGTGCATCACACATATATGGGCGCTGTGCCTGTGCAGTGCTTGTTGCTGGGAAGATTTAAGAGCTTTAATAGTTTTTGGTGGGCACTTCACCTTCCCAGTATAAATGGGCGGAGTGCCTGCCCCTTCGCCAGTCTGCTCATGACCGCCGTTTGCCGTGCCTTGAGCCTTTTTGCTTGTCTCCTCATCTTTTCGCAACTACTTTACTCTTTCTGATAATTCTAAATGTATAACTTCGTTTTACCCCTTCTCGATCTAAAACCCTTTACCCATTGTTTGCTACCCTTACTGAACCCTTCCTTTATATCCTTTCCCCTTCCTCCCACCACTCTCTAAATTTTAAAAAAGCCCTTCTATCTTCTTCACCTTGAGCTTTACCTCTCTCCTTTCCACTGTACTTTCCACCTCCTCCTCTCGATGGCACAGCGGGTGGCTTTCCGCAAGTGCACTCAGTGCGGAGCAAAAATGTCTCCCACGGACCTGCAAACCCTATGTCTCCTCTGCCTGGGAGAGGGACATAGAACTGACAAGTGCAGCCACTGCCAATCATTTACTAGGCAGGCTCAGAAAAACCGAGAAAATAGTCTGAGCAAGATGTTGTGGGACCAAGCCTTGGTCGCCATGAAGCAGGTCTCAGCTGATACCGGCTCCTCTGTGGCTCCAGGGTCCTGCAAAAGTGCCCCCTCTCGCCCATCTGAAGGGGACTTGGCCAGTCCTGATGGAAAGCATTCCTCTCATTCTCCTCCGAGGAAACATAAGGAGGAGAGAAAGCATGTAGGCTCCCACCAGTCAGCTTTGTGGGATCACGCTGGGTTCTAGTATTATGGGAGATGGAGTAAAAAGAGCACAGATCACAGAGTGGATATGGGGAAGGCTAGAGACCTTGGGATACTGTCTGGAAGCCTGAGTGGAAGTTGGGGGAGAACAACCCATGGTGTATTTAGTGACTTGCTGGGCACACAGTGAGTTGTTCTGCAAACAAACCACACTGCCTAGCTATTAATCACAAGGCAGGTTGCTATGTTATTTGAATTTTCCCCATTCGTAAGTATACTTTATCAATATACATTAATTCAAGGACTGCAGGATTCATAGCTTCTACTGAAAGCAAGCATTTAATCTTGAGGATTGTCAAAGAATAATTGAATTCTCGTTGTTTATTGTTTAATCAGAATTCCTTCATGTGACCTAAAGTTTGCATTTGTATGTCCTGTAGCATAATCCAAAGTTTTTGCATTGCTGTTGTTTTAAAAAAGCTTCAGTCTCATATGCTCAGTTATAGTATACAGATTGCAGCTGTCACTGCTGAAAGTTTTCCCTCATAGTTAGCGTCGCTAAATAGTTCTTTTTCTATCAGGACTACTGATTCTGCCTTGTATTTTGGCACTGGAGCTAATATGATCTGTGGCAAAAGGTTTGTCATGTCAGCTGTACCAAAGGATAGTATATGAGCTGGCACTAAGTTCTCTTTGTGTTCGCCAAGCAAGTATGAAATGGAAGCTGCCACTCAAATGGTTAAGACAGACACTTAAACTCAGCCATGCTGCTGTTCCAGCAGAAAACTGCCCTGCCACACCTAATAAATAAAGCAAGTTGAATGGTAGATCAGGTACTGTAATTCTTTCAATGAGAATAACTGTAAAATAATTAGAAAACAATATAACTAATGTGTGGCAGATCAAAGGACATGTTGCTTGCGTCAAAGAACTCTCTATCTGATTTAAGTAGAGGCCATCAAGTGCATACAGAGATGTAGAGTGACCAGAGGTTATTGGTACTGATAGGAAAGAACAATCAAGCACTATGAATTATGCAATAAACTAATATCTATGTTTACAAGAATGTTTTATGCCATGTCTGTTGGTTCTACAGTTCTATTGATGCATCTGATTAATGCAGAGCAACCTTTGGCAGACTGACCTATTTTGTTATGATTCTAACCACCGAGAGAGCTTTGGCTATGGGTAGTATAGAAATGAAATAAAATGGTAAAATATAATAATGATTATGGTAATAATAAAAAATTGGGTTCAGACAGCAAAAAAACCTACAGCGGTGTCCCAGCCCAGTTTATAAGCCCTCCGGGGTAAGCTACTCAGTTAGCCATGGCTTGTAGTAGGATTCAAATAATCTACTGTGGCTGAACATATTTTCTTAACCTTGGCACCACACCAAGCAGTGGTCAAGCCCAAAATTAAAAGAGTTCCTTGTTGTGATGTGAGTCAGTACAATTCCCAGGGGGTTAATATGTCTTACAAGCCTGCCCTTTAAATGGGTTACTTCCATGATATGTAGAAGAAGCAACATGTAACAGTGTAGCATTTTAAATATATAGCTCCAGCATAAGCATCCTATTGCTGTTTGTCTTCAAATTAACTAGGCTTTAGAAACAGGTTTAGTATTTTCCACCCTGCTCCTTTCAGCCACTGCCACACAGTCCACTGAATGGAGTCCCAGGAACAGAGTTTTCATGTAATCTGCCAGTGCTTTTGCTGTTAAACTCTTGAGAGGAATTGAACACCTACTAGTTCAATGTTATTCATTGCTTTTTTAAATAAATTTAATTCCTTCATACACTTTTTTCTTTGATAGTCACATAAATTCTGTTGTTTAACTAGGCAAGTCAACTAACCAAGATTTTTGGCCTGAGGACTTGAGTTCCTGAAAGCTGTACCCACTCCTCACGATAGTGGGCTCTCTTACAGGAAACTCAGGGTTTCAACGTGTTTCTTCTGTCAGCAAACATAGGATCTGTGGAAGTCATAATGGAGCAAGTGATACTGAAGCTTGGGCACTCAAATAAGCCTGTATTATGAGAATTTATTAACTTTCCTACGTGCTAAATGTGTTACTGTTGAAGCTAGGTTTGAGTTATGATACATTTTAAAGGTAGAAAATGCCTGTAAAAAGTCTTTATGACTTGGAAAACAAACAGTATAAAGGACATCTTTACTGAAAAATTGAAGTAGTCACTTGAAGTTCAAGAACACACAATGCTTTCCCCATTTGCTCTCCAACCACAAACAAGTAACTTATTCATGTATTCTGCACTCCAGTAACATCTGTCAAATGAGAGCAAGGGGCAATGCATGCAAAGCATGTTTGGCTCTGCATCAACGTGGCCATTTCTAAAATTAGTAGCTTCTAGAAAATAGATGACAACTAAAACATTTTACTCTTAAACATGCCCTAGAAATAATTTTAGATACATATTCAATGAATAGTTTTGAAGAGAAAGCCTTGCATTCTGAATTCTCAAAACTATACTGTAAAAGTGTCAAGGATTAACGCATCATTAGGCTAGGGAGATTCTTCTATTTAACTTAACATGCTAAGTATGATGTGATGTTGGTGCGTTGCACGGACAAGGGTGGATTTGGGCTAAGTTAGTCATCCAAGGTATCATTGAAATCAGTGCATCTTTAGTTACGTGTGACTAACTTTTCACACTGATTTCTGTAAAATCTATGTGTGATTAATTTTCCCTCCCTACAACCCTCCCATCTGCTTCTGCAGGGTTGGATAATCCTATATAGAGGATCTGGGAAGTGTGTGTAGAGTTGCAAGGGAGAGGAAAGCAAACTGAAGTCCTCTACTTGTGCAAGTGGTGGATTTAAGCCTTATTTTAAATCCAACCCATAAGTAGAAAATACATGTAATGAAAATCTGTGTAAGGAGATTTTATGAACTGGTAAAATGACCTTGGAGTGAGGTGACTTAATGTAAGCTAAACTAAATATATTGAATGGAAGAAGAATTACAAGTATGTTTTATAAATGCATTTAATCCAGTTCCCTCACTTAACTAACATATCTTTAGAAGCATGATGTAGATCTCTTCCGTGTTTCATAAGTGTATGAAAGAGGGTCATATCTTTGTAAACACAAATATTTACTAGTACTTTAAAAATGGAGAAAAGGGGGGCTTTTTTCTTTGTTAAATACTGAGAATATGCTTGTAAGCTTTAGGTTCATATCCTCCCCTGTTTAGAGTGGATTTGGAAGTGTAGGAGGAGACTGAAAAATTGTAAGAAACTAGCATATTTTAAGAATAAAAATATTATAAAATGTAGATAGTAATCTTAGGGAAACAGAATGGTAGATTAAAAGAGATTTTTCCCCTTTATCATTCAACAGAAATAATTTTAACATATTCTTTAAATTTGCCTGTGTTACCCTTCTTCAAATCTCTAGCTTTCTGATAAAGTGCTCACTGAGTTTCACCACCAGGGGGTGACTATATTTTCATCAAACGTGTATATTAAAAATCTTAACAGAATGTGCTGACTTTTCTCTTCCATTTGGGGACACTAAACTGGATCGAGTCTGTCTGTTTAACTGAAAATGCTTAGAAACAATTTTATTTCTGACTTCTAGTTAAACAGAAGATGGTATGAGTCACAAAATTCTGTCAACTGATTTATTTCAAGGCAGTCCATCAGACACATTTCATACTTGAGCTTATTTTTTACAGAAAGGGACAATTGTTAAGGTTTATTTATTGATTTTAAACTGACCAGGCTGTTTCCACTATTTTATGTATTCTGTGTATTTTTTGTATTTATATGTGGGATTTTAATGATCGTAAGCCGCCCCAAGGCTTATGCGAAGGGGGTGGCATATAAGCTGTCTAAACAAATAAATAAAAATTTGTGAAGTAATAACATGGCTTATTAACTTTGGAAGAAGTTCTTGTTTTAAAAGGAAAGATTTCCTAATCATATGAATTCAACAATGCATGCTTTTTCCTTCTTAATTCAGATAGTACAGATTCCTTTCTGTGGAGAAATAGAGTGTGAAGACTGGATCAAAAAAACCACTGCCAGGTAAAAGTGTCTATGTTTCAAATATATGCAGAACTTGTCAAATGTATATGTACCAGTTGAGTACATTGTATTCTGGGGCTTTAACATGGGTATAGGTAAAAGTATACGTGAGAATATACACAATTCCAAACAAGTGTGATCTGTCTGAAAGGGTGGGGACTTTTGTTTTAAAACTTCAGCAAACAGCTATAAACTGTAGAGCGTTTCCCGTTGAGACTGGCAGTTGCAAGATTTCTACAATGCCAGTACATGAGCAGTCAGTCCCTGGGGAATGTAGGGCAGGATCAGAAGTGGGGCACAAACTGTTCTAATAAGGGGCAGTCTACTAAAGACTTCTTGGCTCCAGATCCATCTATGGTTTTCTGGCATTTCCACTAATTAGGATTCAACAGGCTGCTTCCTCATCTTGTACGTGATTCATTGAAAATCTACAAACAAATCTTTGTGAAAGGCATGGCATTAATTCTATTTTTTTCATTTGTGCAAGGAAACACAGGTTAGGAAGGTCATATCACCTTCTTCTAGTCTAGCGTAAATGTAGTGAGATATTTCAGTGTAGACTGTTTAAACTCAGAGATTTGACTGATAGTAATAATAGATGAGCTGAACATTAAAATAAACCTGTTTTCTTTTTCAGAGATCAAGATCTTGAGCCAGGCGCCCCATCTATGGGAGCAAAAAGTCTCTGCATCCCCTTTAAACCTCTGTGTGAGCTGCAGAATGGAGCAAAATGTGTCTGTGGCAAGAACCCTGCCAAGTTCTACACCCTCTTTGGCCGTAGTTACTAAGCTGCTAGCTAGAAACATCATTTCCTTATCTTTTAAGTCCTCAATTTTTTAAAATAAGGACTGAAATCTTCCCAAATCCTCTCCAGGTTTTTGTTACTTTTTAAAACAGCAACAAATGAAGCCATACAGAGTCATAGCCCTTCAGTCAGACTAGCAGTAATGCTCAGACTTTTCTGTATACATCATCTCTAATAATAAATATGTATTGTCAGCTATCGCTTGGCTTCTTTTTTGCTTATCATGAGAAATAAATGGCAACATATACACGAAGGTTAAACAAATCCTGCAGCAGACATGTGTTTGATGTGATATTTGAAATTTTGTTTAAAAAGCTGTTATGAATTTCCAGAGAGGTAGTTATATTAGATATTGCGGCCAAGAATCTACAGGCTAACACATTTATTATGGCAGAAACTTTCATAGAGTACAGCAAAATGGTCTCTTCCATAGTAAAAAAAATATTAGAATATATGCAAATTCAACTGTGGCCTTTTTAGCAACATATTCTGTTAGCATAACTTCAGCATATTGTGTACGGGCAGAACCATGGCTGATGGATTAGTAAAAGCTCTTCATACTTGAAATGCTGAATACTGAATATTGCTTTCTGAATATTGCTTTCTGGAAAAGAAACTTGAAATGATGGCTGCAAAATATAATTAGACCTTTTGAAACATGATGGCAAAAAATACTCTGAACAGTATTCTTTCTCAGGTTTGCCTCTAAGATAAGATGAATTGGTTTCAAATTTGTAGAAAATAACTATGCTATCAATAATCTTAAGACTAAGCGTAGTCAGAGAAAGGCTGCTTAATACTGCTGGTCAAGTAATGCATTTGATATCCTAGAATAAACTTTTGAGTGTTAATATCAAGAAATAACGATGCCAGTTTAAAAACTAGTGTTTCCATGTTTTCTGCAGAATAAGTTCATATAGAAGTATTTGAATATAGAAATTATTCTGTGGAAGAAACAGCATAAGAGTGTCTGTAGCATTTTGTGATCACTGTCTATCACTGTCTGTAGCATTTTGTGGTCAGAAACCAGTTACTGGGTGCCTAGAACGGGTAGAAATGCTCAAGTCCAAACATCACTGAAAGCTCTTTTTTCTATTTGTAGGTATTTTTATTCTGTCTCTGTGCTTGATTTGCATATTCAGTTGGATGTTCCTATAAAGGAATGACATCCGATTCCTTTGCAGATGCATAACACTGTAGAATAAGCTGGGACTCCCACACACTTTCTGCCCCACCACTTCTAGTCCCTTACTAGATCTTGAGTCTCTCCGCTTAGTTCCATTACTAATATTACAATGGAGGGCAGTGCTGTATTTCAAAGACCTATCAGAAAATTATCCTCTGTCTGAAGGTGCCCTTGGTTTGACTGACTGTCTAGTATTTGCCTGGTGTAAAGTCAAAAAACTGTAAAGTGCAGATTGGAGTAGCATTTAGACTGCAGACGGAGCAGGCAGCTGGGTAGTCTCTCTACTATGGTGAGATGTCTTGCATTTCTGTTTCATTTTTGTTTAACTTACAGCTATTTTTCATTCTGTCCCCATGCCTACAAATTTGCCTATTCACATATTATGCAGATTAGTATCAGATTTTTTTTTTTAGTAATGCAGTTGCTCTTTACTGATAGTGCCTAAGTGGTCATCCTAGCCTGGAGTCTTTCCATTGTACTTCTGTCCAAGTCACTGTTTTGGTCCTGCCTCTTTTTAATCCAAGGGCCTCTTCAGAGCAAGAACTCGCACAGAAACAGAGAGTGGCCTGCTCTGATGAGGATAATTTTTTAAATTGCATGTATAGCCTCACCCCTTCTTTTGGTTAGGTCAGTGTGGTTCTGGCAACAGAGGAAACTTACAATAGACCTCTGCACCAGTAAACTACTGCACCTAAATTTCCAGTAACATCTGCAGCAGCACTCACCAACCCTTCAAATTGCTTTCTACCAGTTTAAGGTTTCTGTCAAAAACCAAGTGTTACATTGTCTTGCAGACTTGAATGAACTCACACATACTCTGACAAGACACAAATGTGCACAAGGGTTCTATAGACATGGGCAGGGCGCATGCTTAGCTGGCACTAATTCCCAACCCAAAGATCCGCACACAGACAAGGATAAAGAGGATCTCACCACTCTGACACATACATGGTTGCAAATGCAGAAGCTCATTCGACCATATTTGCTAGGCAAAGCATCAGTTAAGCATTGCATTGCCTGAGGGTACTTCCACCTTTTCCTTGAGTTGTGCCTTGATGGGGCAAAGAGCTGGGTTCTCAGCAAAGCTGGGATTCAGGTTGGAGATGTCCTTGTCATAGGTGAACTGCTTGAGGGGCCAGGGGAGTGGTAGGTTGCGGTGACAGATCAAAGCCTGGTAACGAAGAGTACCTAAGGTTCATGTGAGCAAGGAGGAAGAGAGTGAAGGCCTTGGGACAAGGATTTGGAGTCCAATCTGTACATACAGGACTTTGTTCACAAGGCATCCCTCCTTGATGGTGCCCCGAGTTTGCCTGTGGAGCAGCCCACTGTACTGTTACCCTGTGTTTCAAGCCAACTTCTTTATGGAGAGCTTGTCTTGAGAATGAAGAGTGGAGGGGGTTTGATAAGCAGGAGATCTCGGGTGCTGCAAGTTAAAAAGGTGCCTTGCCAGTAACTTCTGCTAGCAGATGTAGGCTGCGCAAAGGTAGCTGAGGCTCTGACCACGAACAAGTGAACGCTGTTAGCTGAGGACTATGGAAGTGATGGCTTGACATGCTTGGCGAGGGCTGCACTGGGAAGGCTGACCTAGGTCAAGCCCTTCTCCCCGCTCACTTCCATCCCCAGCACCCAATTAATTTCTGGATATAATAAAGCAAGTGTATTGGCTGTGTGCCACATTAAGCCAAACATTAAGCAGGAGGAACTATTGCTATTGGCTAAAATAGTAACACTACAGCCAATGAAATAAACATAAGCACTTATTAATTTGATCGCTTGGTGGCCATAAAGAATAAGTCACCAGTGTAAAAGGGTACAGAACGGAGCCTTCTCCCTTATGCACTTCTAGTATAGCAGCCTTCACAAGATAACCTCTTGCTTAATTGGCCTTTAAACGGGTTTTATTGTTTTAGTGCATCTTATAAAAATTAGCTCCCAGACACAAACAGCTGAGCCAAGAAAAAGGCAGAGCCACAGAAACGTTTCTTGCTAATGCCATTAGGACCCTTCTGATAGACACAGGGATCACAAGGAAGGCTTCAGCCATGGGCCGCTATACGGGAAGAAGCAGCAGGCTTTTATTTATGTGCATCATCAGCTTCTTGCTTTTCCTGGTAGAAATGTCGGTAGCCTACATAGGCAACTCTCTCTCTCTAGCATCAGACGCTTTTGCGGTGGTGTCCCACTTGATCTCCATGATCATCGGCTTGCTTGGCGTGCGGTTCAGCCGCATCAGATGGCACAGGAGCAGCACCTTTGGCTTTCCCAGGGCTGATGTGGTGGGTGCCTTTGGCAATTCTGTCTTTGCCACTGCCCTGATGTTCAGCATCCTGATTGAAGCCGTGAAGCGATATCTCAACCCACAGAAGACCGAACAGGCGCTGTACGTTCTAATTGTTGGGGTCGTAGGGCTGCTCTTCAATGTGCTCAATTACATTGTCTTTATGGACTGCTGTTACTGCCGTGGCTCTGTTGACCAAGACGAGGAAAATGGTGAGTCATTTAACCAAGCCGTAGCTAATACTTGCAAATATACAAACAGCAATCAGAAGATGACTGCTTTAGTGGATTCCTTGACAGAGACCCTGATGTTCTTCAGTATTTTAAATAGCAAAACATATTCTTTGATTAAAACCCATTCTATGCTACCCTTAGCAGCAACACACATGTGAACTGATCATATGTTGGATTGTTCTTATGTAACTGAGATATACCAGGACAGAGAAATGTCATTTTTGCAATTAGGTGACTTTTGCAATCATAATAACATAAGAGGACAATGCTGGATCAGATCAAAACCCCCTTTAGTCCAACATTCTCTTTTCACAATGGCTAAATATTATCTGGGAAAGCCTCTAAGTAGCACATGAGTGCAGTAGCTTTTGTCCTCCTGCTTTTGACCCGAACAATTGGTATATATGATTGTAAGCCATCCAGAGATTAGAGTAATGGCCAAATTTCATTCAATCATTCATTCATTCATTCATAAATAGGCCTCCAGTACCGGAGGTAACGTTTAGTCATGACTGCTGGCCAGTGATAACCTTAACGGGTGGCGGGGTGGCTGAGTGCTGAAGGCAATGGACTCAAAATCTATTGTGCTGTACATGCATGGGTTTGAATCCCATCATCAGCATTAAGTTTTTGTCACACGGAGATGGGTAGAGACCTGTTCTCTCCTGCAGAGGAAGGCAGGACGCGCTCCAATGGAGCAAAGCTCAGGGAGCCAAGGTTCCGTTTTGATGCCAGGAAGCACTTCCTGACAGTTAGGACCCCGAGGGTGTGGAATGGGCTTTCATGGGAGGTCGTTGAGGCCCCATCAGTGCGGGTGTTCAAGGATAGGCTGGACGTCCACATGGTGGGCATGTTGTGAGTGGAACCAGCTGGAGCCGGGGGTCAGACTAGATGGCCCGGGAGACCCCTCTGACTTGTTCTGTTTCTATGTTTCTATGTTATCTTTCATGAATCTGCCCATTTCCCTTTTAAAGCTGTCTAAGCTGATGGTCATCATGACATTCTGTGGGAAACTCATGCGAATCTACCCTAAGTTCTCCTTGACCATGTGCCAAGAGAGATGAATCTTCATTAGAAAAGCAATATGTCAAGAACTTTGTATCATTTTTCTAGATCTTGGTTGAAGCAGCGTAATGTGAAAGACATAGCTGTTTTTACTTGTACCTGGATGTCCAAATTCATACAACCACTCTTGGGAATGTATGTACAGATACGGTTACTGACTTTGTCAGTATCAGCACTGGCATCAACCTATTGTGCATAGCGCAACTTTCTTTAGCCAAGTAATTGGGAGCAAGGAAAAAGTTTGGCTAGATGGAATTGCTACTAATTAGGACTTACTAGATGAGGATTGGCAATATGGGACTGGAAGTTCTGTGTATGTGCATATACTGGCTTCCAATACTATGCTAAAGTGGGATGCAATATCAAAATTGGGAGGGCATCCAAAGGGATAAGAAAAAATGTAATGGATGGTAGGGCATCTCCTGTAATATTGTGT